TTGCTCACTCCCTGCTCACTCCCCTCTCCTCTCCTCCCCTCTCTCCCTTGTTCCCTTGCCCTCCTTCCCTTCCCCCTCTCTCCACATGGACCACCAAGCTGGGCCGAGGTGAGCAATGCTACCATGTAATGTGTCCATCTGTATTATTGTATCTCTCATGCTCTTGATGACTTTAATATAATACTTATATATCTCAACTGTACAATTGTGCATTACTGAACCCGTGGGTACTATTAGTAGTAGTACTAGCAGCGGGTGGGGGCTGGCCCCTCACCCCCTTATTTTTAATTTAATACTACAAAAAACAAACAAGCAAGCCTCATTGTCATTGAGTCAATTCCAAATCATAGTGGTCCCATAGGACAGGATAGAACTGCCCTTTGGGGTTTTGCAGCCTTTAAATCTTTCCAGGAGCAGGCAGCCTCATGTTTCTTCTGGGGAGTGGCTGGTGGGTTTGAACTGTCGACCTTGTGGTTAGCAGCTCAGTGTGTAGCCTACTCTGCCACCAGGACTCACTTCAAACTATACTTGAGAGACCATGTAATTGTAAAGGGAAGAAAATGAGCTTTGAAGTAAGATGGATCTGCATTCAAATCCTAGTTTATCAGATGTAAACCCTTGAGCTAGTGCAAATTTAGTGCACTTTGAGTTTCCGTTTCCTTTATCTGTACAAATGGGGCTAGCAATACTTAACCTTGCAATAGTTGTTATGAATATTAAATAAGTTAAACACAAATTTCAGTGTTTTGCTATCTGGAGAAGAGTGACAAAAATTGAAGGCACATGGAAACAATTAGTCCAGGGGATGCAACTGTCACCTGGCTCATTTCTTACAGAGCACTTTCTGAGCTCGGAGTGTAACATATTTCTAGCTTGTTGCTTGGATAATACCTGGTAACCAGCAGGCACTTTGTGAATCAGAATACCAAGAAGACTTTGAATAAGCGTTTTGAAATGGTGACGATAACTTATGAAGTCTAAGGAGGTAGGACAATCGATTCATCTGAGTCTATACACTTGATGCATCACCTTCGAGGCATTAGAATGGAAGGTGGACTGTCATTCCTCAAGGCAGAAAGATGGAGCCCTTGAGTCCCGTAGACTTACAGTCTCAGAAACTCACTGACTCGATGGCACTAACTTTGGTTTGGATGGTGGTCATTCCTCAAAGCAGCCCTGGTGATGCTGTGGCCCATTCTCACTGCTGACTGAAAGGTAGGTGGTTTGAACACACCCAGTAGCCTGGGTAAAGATGATTGTCTAGGAGCCCCTAGGAGG